AATCTTCTGTTCAGCTCTTTTATCTTGTCATTTCTTCCATTTGCTTTAGCTACTCTCTGTTCAAGGGCAAGTTTCAGAGTCTCTTCTGACATCCATTTTGGTCTTTTCTTCCTTTCTTGTCTTTTAAATGACCTCTTGCTTTCTTCAAGAATGATGATCTTGATGTCATCCCACAATTCCTCTGGTTTTTATTCATTGGTGTTCAATGCATCCAATCTATTCTTTAGGTGGTCTCTATATTCAGAAGGGATATCATCAAGGTCAATATTTTTGCTCTCATGGACTTGTTTTAATCATCTTCAACTTCAACTTCAACTTCAATTTGCAGTTGATGGTCTGTTGCACAGTCAGCTCCTGGCCTTGTTTTGGCTGAAGATATCGAACTGCTCCGTCACCTCTTGCCACAGATGTAGTCTCTCTAATTTCTTTGTATTCTGTCTGACGAAGTCCATGTGTATAGCCATCGTTTATATTGTTGAAAAAAGGTATTTGTAATGAGTAAGTTGTTGGACTTGCAAAATTCTATCATAAGATCTCCAGCATTATTTCTATCACCAAGGCCATATTTTCCAGCTACCAGTGACTCTTCTTTGTTTCCAACTTTTGCATTCCAGTCACCAGTGATGATCAACACATCTTGATTGCATGTTTAGTTAATTTCAGACGGAAGAAGTTGGTAGAAATCTTTCATTTCCTCATCTTTGGCTTTGGTAGTTCGTGCATAGATTGCAATAATATTAGTATTAAGTGGTCTTCCTTGGAGGCATAAGGATATTATCCTATCACTGACAGCATTGTAGTTGAGGACAGATCTTGAAACAGTCTTTGTGACGATGAATGCCATACCATTCCTCTTCAATTTGTCATTCCCAATATAGGAGATCATATGGTTGTCTGATTCAAAATGGCCAAAACCAGTCTTTATGCATTCCATTTCATTTTTGACAACTTCCACTTTTCCTAGATTCATACTTCTTACATTCCATGTTCCAATTATTAATGGATGTTTGCAGCTTTTCTACTCATTTTGAGTCATTCTACATCAGCCAGTGGAGGTCTTGAAAGCTTTACTGTATCCATATCTGAGGAGTCAGATCTTTCCCAGTCATATTTTGAGTGCCTTCTGACCTGACAGGTTCATCTTCTGGCACTATATTGGACAATGTTTCAGGGCTATACATAAAGTTTTCCAGTAATATATCAGACAGTGTTTCACTACTATTCATAAGGTTTTCACTGGCAAATTCTTTCAGAAATGGATGGCCTCTTCCTTCTTCTGAGTCTGTTTTAGTCTGGAAGCTCCACTGAAACCTGTCTACCATGGGTAACCTTGATGGCATTTTGCAACACAGTGGCATAGCCTCCAGCCTCACAGCAACTCACAGGCCATCACAGAACAATAAACTGACAGACAAGTTCATCTCCCTTAGTTGTTCCTAACTGCTCTGCTCACTTCCTCGCCTATCCAGGCCCAGGCTTAAATCTGCCCCAGAATTCCCGTGCTGCATGCCCACCTACCTGCCAATGGCCTGGCCTTAAATAAAGCCACCCATGAAGCCCTGAGTCACACGACTACCTACCTGTCTGATGCCTGGCCTTAAAGCCGCCCCAGAAGCCCTGAGCCACGTGCCCACCTACCTGTCCACGGCCTGGTCTTAAGTAAAGCCTCACCAGAAGCCATGAGCCACGCTCCCCATTCTATGTGTTGTTGTTATGTGCCGTGAAGTTGGACCGACTCATAGTGACCCCTCCTTGGGTTTCCAAGGCAATATCACTACGGAAGTAGATTGCCCAACCTTCATTCCGAGGAGTGGCTAGTGTGTTTGAACCGCCAGCCTTCTGGTTAGCAGTCAAATGCCTTAGGTACTACACTGGGGTGACCATATGTAATTCATCTGCCAACCAAGACACTTTTAAGAGTGAAAAAGGGTACTGTTAATAATTAAGTCGGATCAACTGACACAAACCAAGTTCTATGGTCACCTTCACAATAAACCAAGCACAGTTTTAGGTACTTGGGATTCAAAAGCAATAAGATATGATCTAGCCTCCCTTCCCCTCCTTGCCTTCTTATCTTTGCTTTTGGGTAAATGTTGACTGGTCTCATAAACCAATTACTTTTGAAACATAGAAAAAGCATATTAAAAAAAAATCAGACTTACTGGACTGATAAGAGACTGGTAGACACCCTGAGATAACCAGAACTGAGGCCACTCTCAATGGTCACCTTTCCACCAGATAACAGCTTGGTCTATAAAGTAAATAGTAACACTCCTGAGGAATGTGCCCTTTAGAACAATCGACTGTATGAGTCCAAAGGGGCAGCATTTGCCCAAAACCAAGGAAGAGGAGCAGAGGAGGGGCATGGAAACTGGAGGGACAGAAACAGGGAGGCAGGATGAAAATGGAAAGAGTACTGACACATTTCGAGAATTGCAACCAATGTCATGGAACACATTGTATATAAATTATAAGTGGGAAAATATGCTGTGTCAACATTCATCTAAAACACAATAAAATGTTAAAAACAACAAAAAGCAGATTGGGCCCAGAAGTAAGCAAGCCCAGATGAAGAACGAGAGATACCATAGATCTTCATACATGAAGATCACCAAAGAACCAAGGAACAGAAGATGAAAAGACACAGAGACCTTCCCCTAGAGCTGCTGCCCTGAATTTGGACTTTTAGCCTCTAAACTGTGAGAAAATAAATTTCTGTTAGTTAAAGCCACCCACTTGTGATATTTCTGTTATAGCAGTGCTAAAAGGGTAAAACAATGTCACTTCACTTTCATCCCCCTTGTACTGTGTTTTCAAAAGATAGCACAGAATGTAAGCTCCTAAATCAGTGTCTACATGAAGGCTGCTGTCACTCAGCTTCTCAGACACAAACAAGTTAAATTCCGTTCTAAAACTGCATTATCCTGACTGCATAAAGGCAGAGCTGGAGCACACAGGTTCTTTGAACCCACTGTAACAGAGAAAGACCACAGAGTCAAAACAGCTGACCAGCCAAGAGTGCCACCGCCTGCAAGGGAGAAGGGTCTCATAAAGTGGGCTCAGAACTTTCCTTCTAGGAGTAGCCTCTACACATGCAAAGACTAGGGAGGATGCACCTAGTGTGGCATTTCATGTAATGTTTTAATCATAATGAAATCTTTAACATTAGTTGAAATAATTCTAAGGGCTTAGGAAAGGCTTTCATTTCATTTAAGGATGTTAAAGTGTAATGGCAGAGGCTAGAATATCTTACCAGGCCAGAAAGTAAGGAAGTGCATAAAAATAATAGTAATAATGAAAAATGTCAAAAGGACCCAGGAGGCTGCTGGAGGGAGCTCTCCCTGGGCAAATCTGGGCCTGTTAAAATACTGATAGTTACAGATTACAACCTATTGAGTAAAATATAAATCAATGGGAGTATATGAATAAATAAGTGATGGGAGAGAAGGCATAGTTTTTCCCGACAGTAGAATTCCTATTAATAAAGGTAGAGAAAATGGTGATTGTTTGGCAATCACCATAATAATAATTGTTTTAGGCAAGAATCATTATTGGCTGTTAAAATTAGAAGGAGAAAGTAGGAGGAAAAACAGAGTGCATTTGTATAAAAAACATCTCCCCACAAGATCCTTAGTTGTTGTTAGCTGCTGTCCAGTTGGCCTTGACTCCTGGGGACACCATGCACAACTGGACAAGATACTGCCCAGTCCTGCACCACCCCCAGAGTCAGTTGGGGATCAACCGTTGTGATCCATATGGTTTTCACTGGCTGATTTTCAGAAGCAGATCACCAGGCCTACTTTCTAGTCTATGTCAGTCTAGAACCTCCACTGAAAACTTGTTCAGCACCACAGCAACATACAAAGCTCCACTGACTGACAGGTGTTGGTTGCACATGAAGAGCATTGGTAGGGCATTGAACCTGGGTATGGAAGACTGAACTGGCTACTCTAAACCTGGCTAAGACACCCTGAAACCTCAAAGATGAATTCTACTTGCAGACCCCACACCCTCCCCTGCTTTGTGAAACCTCAGAGATAAATTCTGCTTGCAAACCCCACACCATCCCTGCCTGGGGAAACCTCGAAGATAAATTACCAGTCTGCAGACTCCACACTCTCCCCAGCCTTGTGGGAAAAACAACCCCACTTCCTGGAAACTGCAACTCATGTAAAAACACATGTGCTCCAGAGGCCCCTATAAAAGAGGCAACATTTCCTCCGGAGTGGGGGGTGCCTCTGCTCTTCAACTGTCATTGCCCACATTGCTGCTAGAGCTGTCCCTCACGGGCTTTTCTTCAATAAAGCCTGCTCTGATCTGTCGAGGTCATGGCTATTTTTTCTTCCCTTACTTTCACTTTCACTTCTGCACTTCCTCACTTTCCTAACAAGTATCCTGCAGGGAAGGCAGACATTCTATCACTGAACGGCCAGTACCCCCAACCGAATTAGTTACAAGGTGAGAAATTACAAGTTTACGGTAAAGAAGCCTGAAAAACACCGCCTTCACCAAATGATTAAGCATCACCAGTCATTGGGTGAATCAACATGATGTGCTTTCTGATATAAAACAGAGAAGAAAAGCATGTGTGTAGTATTTCTTCCAAAACTGCATAACCTGAGGGATGAGGGGAGACAACAGATAAACAGGAAGTAAGGAACATCGTACTGGCTTATTCTCTGCAAAAAGGCCACGGTAATGAAAATAAAGGAAGAGGGAGGAAATGTTGCCAATTAAAGGACACTAAGGAGACATTCCAACTAAATGCAACATGTGACCCTGAATTGGATTCTGGACCTGAGTCTTTTCTTTTTTTTTTTTTTCCCCATTGCTAGAAATACACAGAGTCATTGTACCAAAAACAATTGGTTGACATTCAATCATTTCAGGAAGTAGCATATGATCATGAACCGATGATGTTGAAGGAAGAAGCCTGTGATGCACGGAAGGAACTGGTGGAAAAACAGAGCTCCAGGAATTAATGGAATACCCATGGGGATGTTTCAAGAAATACATGCAATGCTGCAAGTGCTCACTCGTTCTCACCAAGAAATTTGCAGATGACACAACCTTGATTGTTGAAAGTGAAGATGACTTGAAGACTTACTGATGAAGATTACAGACTACAGCCTTTAGTCTAAACTACATGTAACGTAAAGAAAACAAAAATCCTCACAACTGGACCAATAGGCAATATCATGATAAATGGAGAAAAGACTGAAGTTGTCAAGGATTTCATTTTACTTGGATCCACAATCAATGCCCGTGAAAGCAGCAGTCAGGAAATTGAACATCATATTTTGCTGGCCAAATCTGCTGCAAAAGAACTCTTTAAAACGTTAAAGAGAGAGATGTCACTTTGAATTCTAAGGAGCACCTACCCCAAGCCATGGTATTTTCACTTGCCCCATATGCATGTGAAAGCTGGACAATGAATAAGGAAGACTGCAGAAGAATTGATGCG